CTTAAACATACTAAAAGGTTGACTGGTTATGAAACAGCTCTCCAATTTAATGCCTCTATATGACCTACATAAACAAGACCATTCAGGACAAGATGGCTGTTGATTGATGTAGTTATTCTTGCAACCTGCAGTTGTATATTTGCGAAACTTTGACTTATATCCTGACAGTAGTACATGAGACAGCAATCTGTGAAAAAAGTGCTCCTCCTAAGAGCTCCTAACTGACATTGCAAGAATCCACCAGACCTGAACGAGAACAAACCAATCAGATCTGAACAAACAGAAAGATACTCGAGTGGAGCTTAAAGTTAGCGATTGTTGAGTCTCATTCACAGCCATCGATATTTGACTACCTGAGAACTGAACAATCAACTATCTTTCTTGAGTCCTGATTGTTTTTTTCGTTATCATGGCATGGCCAACGGATGTGTTCATTGCAATCCACAACTGCACCACTAGATGCCACTAAATCCTACACACTGGTCCTTTAATCAGCAAAACATTGAGACAGATTGTGTCTTATTCTAAGATTTAACTGAAGTGATACAAATTAACTGAGGCCGTGTCCCTGACCTGACCAGCAGCAGGATGATGGGATAGATGGTAATGATGGAGACTCCGAACAGCAGCCTGGCGATGAGCATCAGAATGTCATTGCCGGTGTACGACATCAGAATGTCGGCCTTCACGTCCTTTCCAAATGTCAGGAACCCATAAACCCCTGCAACAGAGAAAAGAGGATGGCGTGTCATTTTTCGTAGCAGCAAATGGAGTGTATCTGATGCCAAATGGAAAAACTGACATTTCCTCTCACAAAGTGACAACATAGGGGCATGGCGATGACAATCAACAGACACGACTCGTTTTATTGTTTGGGTATTAAGTTAAATGGATTTTGTACAGTGAAGCAGTATGCCTAAAAGATGCAGTTTGATTCATAGAACATGATTTATAGGTGTAACAGGAAGAAAAGCTCCATTAAGAAGTTGAGAATCTTGAAAATGTCTCAATGTGTGCTATAACAACACTAAGCAGGCACTAGAAATGTGTCGCAGAGCAAAACCGTTGTTTTCCCATTGTTTTCGACAAGCGTACGCCTTCTCCCCACCACACATGAAATGGAATTTATAAAATATAAATGTGCGGTGAGCATATGTGCACCTCCTGCAAACCAGGCGTACTGTTTTCAAGAGATAACTGCGGGTTACACAAGGAGGTGGACATGACATTAAGTTGAGAAATGTAACGGACAGAGGAAATGTCAGGGGATCAGCAAAGTCACTGCGATTCACTGTCTGGAGACTAGGGATATGCGTGATTAGTCGACCAGTCGGTTACACGTTGCTAATCTCGCTAGTAATAACCAGAAATATTAGTCGGTTAAAATAATTATTATATATTTTTAATGTACAACACTGGTTCATTGCGTCTTTATGCCACTAGCTAGGGCTGCAGCTCCTCGTCGCTGCACTAATGCCACCGCTGGTTTTGAGAGTCCTCTTTGTCCCACTTTAGAAGTTATAGTTATAGATTACTGCTGTCTGCTTTGGGATTCTAGCAGCTGATTTCACTCTCTGCCATCTAACCTCACACAGCTTGGAGATGGCTCTATTCAGGGGGAAAATGGTGGACTGGAGTTGAAAAGAAGATACCCAGAGTATGGTCAGTTAGGATGAGATTAAGCACTGAGAAACTAGCAGTCACATTATAAAAGAGTTGTCAGCCTCGCTGTATACGCTGACTGGCAGTTCGCTAACGTAATCACAGATGCAGTCATCTAGTTTTTGTTATTCACAAAGTGAACCCATCCACCCAATTCAAAATCTCACTCTCTCTCTCCTTTCTAATCATTCACAGCACTGTCCTGCAGAAAGTTATTGTCCGTATGTTGCCAATTTCAGTACTATCCCATTGTGTTTACTGACATGTAAATGCAGATAATGTAACATTGCCCTGGATCAAATGTGTGTAATAGGATATACTGAGGAAAATAACAGTAACTTGTGAAGCCTGGCTGTATGTGTGCAGTGTGTGTATTTACAGTCTTTCATTGTGGTTCATTTTGACTGTTTAATTACTTTCAGACTAGTCAAAATTAAAATTTCGGTTTAATCAATGGCAAAATGAGTTGCCAGTAACATCCGTACTGGAGACCCTGAATAACTGTACGAAATGTCACCACAATCCATCCTATAGTGGTTGAGATATTTGAGTTGGGACCGAAGCAGTGGACCGACAGGCACTGCCATTCCTATAGGAGCTGACAATCTTGTTCATGAGGACATAAGGACGTACCTGCTTTCAAGTGTCATTTTACAACCTAGAAGCCTCCAAAGTATGTTTCTCACTTCACCCTGATGTGACTCACAGCTGTAAATGGAAAAAGTGGTCCAATTATTCCTCTGGAACAGACTGCTCTGTACCACACTTTTCCGGTGCTGATTGTATACTGGAAACGCATGGAGAGCAACTGGGTGTCTAATAATCACGGGGAATGAATGAATGGAAGGGAGGGGCAGAAACCTGTGAGGGAGTAGATGATGAGACAGAAGATCATGGAGACCACGGAGATGAAGACCCAATGAGAGAGCCGCTGGTTCTCCATGCTGCTGTAGATGGCGATGGACGCCTCATGGCACTGCAACAAACACACTGTGGTTAAAGGTAAGCAGAAACTACAGATGCACTGACGGATAAATCAGGTTTTGCTCAGACAGATTGTGTGCCTATCTAGCTGCCAGCCTTGGATTTTTTTTCTCATCTGTCTGTGCCGGGTGAGGATCCAAAAGGTCTTATTATCTCTGATCTCTCCGCCGGTGTGATGAACTGAGATGAGATAGGGAATTAAATGAAGGCTGTGGGCTCGGAGCGGCACAATGAAGCGAGGTAAACCATCACAGAGGTCAGGATACAGACTCTTGTCCCCGCTTGATCCCAGCTGCCACCGCCCGCTTTTAAATCTCACTTCCCCTTTTCCTGCCTTCCCCTCCTCCACTCCTCCACTCCTCTCAGGATCTCATCAGCTCTCTTTTCAACCCTTCGCAGTGCAATCACTCACCCTGAGGGAGTGCGTCTGTGTGTGTGTTGGCGTGAGGGGACATGCATCAGTCCTTTCACACTTTCCCCCTCCTTTTATTAGATCCCGCCAGCATCCCTCAGGGGTTACCTTGGCAACTTGGGAAGTTACACATCAGTCCTTCCTGCTTTAGATTGACAGAATGATCTTTTTCCCTGTTGCCAGCCCTGATATTAAATATAAAAAGCAAACTCTGCCGGGTTCCCGCGGAGCACAGTGGCTCCCAGGCTGCGCCAGCCTGCTGACCTTTCTGTGGGACCCATAGTTATGTTGTTTATGTTAATGGTTATTGAACAGAGGACACCCCCCACTAATATATCCTTGTAAGTACTGTGCAACTGAATTAATGTGAAATTTGTTTCCTATTTTTATTTTTAGAATTTATTTTGTAAATATTTTATTTACTTAGAAGGACCAATGTCCGGCGCAAAAATGAACCTGGGGTTAATAACACTTATTTACCGAGTTGTCTGTTCTCTGGCGATTATGTTTCCAGCCAATGCGCACGCTGACCACGGTTTTAACAAAACCCTAGATTACCGTATAATCGCTAGTCAACGGCTTAGTACAGAGTGAATAAGAAAGCTAGTTCTATTAGCCACTACAAGGCTCATAAGATAGCTACCACACGTACACCGGGTAGCATAATCAGGGTCCGCTATTGGTATATCCGAAGCATTGAGGCTCTGTGTATGTTCAGACAGTTATAAAAAGATAGTTTTTAGAGACATAAGTATTGCTCACGGGTATACAGGCGGTCGCCATCTTCGCGAAAACTAGTGGACCAGTCCAACTCTCTGAGATGTGACCTCTTGAACGCACCATCCGTTACGCGCAACGCGCGCTGTTTGCAGATAGAGAAGCAGCTGAACGCAACTGGGAACTGAGCTGCTTTCCATCAGACACACACTGAAGAGATGGGTCAACAGATTTGTAAGACACGTTGACAACGAACCCTTTCAAGTTTTGGGTATGGAACGTCCTTATGCTTCGAGCCGGAATATAAAGCAGACGGAGAGAGGCCGCGGGGAGCCTCAGGTGAAAGGCTTAGCTCTAGCATAGTACGCTAGCCTGTTTCTTTCAAATGGGTAACAAACTCTGGCGTAACAGCATCCTCTAAAGCTCAGTTATTGACAGGGTTACATGTTTGTTATTTCCGGTTAAGAAACTCAAATTTATCTTTCTCGGCTCTGATGGTTGTTTTCTTCAGGCCGGTGATTCTTGTAAATGCCATTAGGAGCACTAGGAGGAAGCCAGAGGAACCTGATTTTTCACAGATTATCTGTCTCATGTATACTGCTCAGGATATAGAAAGTTTCAGCAAATATAACAAAAAAGTTTTTAAAACCTTTTTATACAAGTTATCTACTGCAGCTTTAACCATGAATTTAAAATGTTCTATTTGCCAACCCCCTCACCCCTACAATGCACTGACCTGATTCATTTTTAAAATGAAACTTTTCATTGTTGTGTAAAAGAAAAAAAAGAAAAGAAAATGTTTTGGATGAAGGCAGATACGTCAAACAGACCCAGATAAATACTATAAAACTATCTGCAAGGTTAGATACTATCTGTGAGAAACATATGTTAATTGCTTGCTATGTAATCACTCTTCAATGTATTCCCATGCATGTCTTTGCAATTTTGCAGCCAGAACCACACAGCTTTCCCCTCCTGAAGCGTGCATACATACATAACCCTTCCCACACACAGCTGCACACTCACTGGCCTCCAGCCTTCCCACAGCATGATGCTCTAAACACATGTTAACCAAGTCTCAGAGGGTCTTGCATGAATACATTTCAAAATTGTTGTACTCACTTGGAAACCGAAGCAGATGGTTGGGATGACGCTGAACATGGAGGCCCAGGAGCTGATCCTGCACACAGACAGGAGGAGACACAAGAGTCATTTTCTGGGGTTCACAAATGCCACGAGAAGAAGATGAAGAAATCAGCTATTATTGGGGCACCGTTCATAATGCCGTGGCATTTAGAGACACTTCGCCATACAGTTCATCTGTCAATCACAGGCACACAGCTGACAGGAGCAGCCGGGGTAAGTCAGCGAGCCAGACAGAGTGTCGAAACAGTGACAGAGGGGTTCAAGGAGAGGCACGAGCAGAGCGGTTTGATCCACTTTGTCTGTCCTGGTGGCCCGGATTCAAAGCAGATTTATGGATAAGACTCATGACATGTCATATTTCCTGGAAACAACCTTATAACATGAACTTGCTCCGGACAGTAAGTATATTTATAACATAGTAAGACAGCCTCAAAGACAAAACTTTACTTAAAAAAAAAATAAAATAATATTTTATACACACACACACACACACACACACACACACACTTTAGCAATTTGTAAAAATTATTTTTCCTCATTTCCAAAGTCTGAAGGCAGATTATACACCTTACTTCAGTCATGCAGACAACAGTAAATACAGACTGCAGAGCATATATTCAGACAATTATTTTGAAATAGAATTTTGACAGCTGCAGGCTCTGCTGTCATCACAAGCAACCAAAACAAATACTTCGACATTTGGGGAAATGCAGTTATTTGCTTTCTTGCTGAGAATTAAATGAGAAGAAGATCAATACCCCTCTCATATCTGTTTATTAAATATGGAGCTACAGCCAGCAGACGGTTAGCTTAGCTTTGCATCAAGAGTGGATTGTCATCAAACTCTCTGCAAGAAAGCAAATGCGTGGAGCTCCTAAAATGTCCTCAAATAAACGCTGCGAACAGGAGGACTATGCAGCACTAACAACACTGCACTCCTCTTTTAAAACTTTTCATTTAATTTCATCCATGCACACTTTGTCCTCCATGGTACAAACTACTTTTGTACAATTAAACAATATAATTAAAACAAAATGAAGAACTTACTATAACACAAGTACGGAGCCCCATAAGGGACATGGGAGAGGGATTATTTCTCCCCTATGCAAAAGTTTCTCAGTGGAAATATTTTTCACCCATGTATTTTGTGTGAGGGGAACACAAAAGTATTTATAATTTTTTTTTTTCCCCACCCACCAACTTTTACATGTTCATATATAAAGTCAATATAAAGGCAATAGCAATAACTTTGAGAAAATTAAGAAAAATTAAATGTAGTTTCCTGTGCAAAATGATGAGCTAGGGCTGTGCAATGTTCATAATCTCATATCCTGATATGATACAGCACATTCTGTAAATTCAATGAATAAATTGTTTCTATAAAATTAACACATGGAAAGGCCCATTTCATATGACATTTTGAAATATATACTCAACAAATAAAAACTTACTTACTCATATATCTCCTTTTATTTAGAACATTTGTGCTAAAATATTAACATCACAGTGTCTGCCACATAAAACTTTACTCTGGCGGGTCACCCATATTAATGTCCAGCAACCCATTTAGGCACAAAGAAAGAGAGAAGAGTCACCCGGTACGTGGAGACGGGGGATATTTTACAAACACAGAGCAGTAAAGCATTCTGTACCAGTTTCGATCGTTTCCATAGCCTCACTAACAACAAGCCTCCTCCACATGAGGCTGACCTGCTTTTATGAAAACGGAGCCACAGATGAAAATTCCAAAACCCAGTGGTGTTTTTATTCGTACGATTGTATAAAACAAATTGCTTGCTTGGCAAGTAAACGTTGGGGAATTCTTTGCATTGCAGCCCTGCCTCATCAACTCCTTCAAAGCACATATTTCTCATATGGACGACGGAACAAAATATGAAACAATAGATAATCTTCTATGGCCACGCAATATATATCGTCACAGCCCTACATTGAGCTATACGTTACCAGCTGCTGCAGCGGCCATGGGTTCGACTCCGACC